AAAGTCTATCATCACTCATGCCACAATTTCATTTTCATCAGCCAGTCTCAACTGACTAATTAAAATTCCATTCCCACATAATCATCAAAATTATAAACTTCACTTAGATTTTAGGCTGCTTCTCCACACATCTGGCTCAAATTTGCTGCACCGGGGAAGCCTACGCTCAGAGAAGCCAGACAAGAGTATGAGTCACTTCTCTTTCCTTTCATTGTATTTCTACTGCTCCTGCTTCTCCCTCCCCTCGATAAATCTCACTTCCACTGGTTTAGAACTCTCTAAGGCTAGAGTGCGGGGAGGGAGAGGAAAGCAGGAAGGAAGGTTCTGGTTTGGCAAATACTGATTCTGGCTGCTATTGGCTTTCTTTAGATTTGGCAGATGCTTAAATCTGGCTCTTTCTCTCCTAAACCATATATTGGGTTATTTTGCAAGCCCTATCACCACCACCACAAGGCCTCTCAAGCCCATTCCTATTCCAGTTCATCATCTGTGATTCCTTCTAAAGCCAGATATATTTGGGAGTCCACTTTTGGCCTTTTTCTCCTCAGGCTTCCTCCTGGGCAGGAATCATATAACCCTGGGCTGACTTTTTTATACATTACCTGCCCAGATCTGCTCCTTGGGCAACATCACAAGTCTAGCTGTGATGGACCCTATGAGGACAGCTACTTCCCAAATTATAGCCATTGGCCACTTCCTGTAAGCTCTCCTCCTTTGGATTTTTCAGGTATAATTTGGACACCATTCTTCTGTGTCCCCCAAAGTTCAGGGGACACAAAGAAAGCTCTCTAAGTGGTCCCCCTAGGTTCCTCTGTCTTGCCTTGAGGGGAGGGGGGAGCAAGCACACCCGCACACTCTTCCCACACTCAGCGGGTCTGGAACACGCAGCACGGCTCTCTCCAATAAAAGCCTCCCTGAAACGCCCTCAGGAATCTCCCTCCCCAAGCCTTTTATACCCTCGAGATGTGTGAGGAGTTTAACTTGTTTTCACATTCCTCATTTAAAGATGTGCATCTTAGTGCCTCAGTCAAAATTTTAACTTCCTTTTACACATATTAGAAACTATGCATTATTATACATTATTATAAACATGCATTATTAACTTTCTATTTTCTTGAAATCAGGATTTCTATCTCAAGTCTTGATCTTTTCTATTTTTACAATAAAACAGCTTTTCTTAGAGTGATTTTAAGGATGAATCTCAGTATGAAACAAATAATTTCTTCTATTTTTAGAATTGCAGCTCTCAAATGTCTTAAAGCTTAAAAAAAAACCTCATACAACAACTCTAAATGGGTAAAAAATTCACACAACTCTACATAAAGTCTGGAAGATTGTGTTTTAGGAGTTGGTTTGGAGCTGGTAGTAAAGGGGGAGTTTAGGAGAAATAGAGGAGTTATGAGTAAAAGAAAATAAGAAAACACTTTTTTTTTTTTTTTTGAGTCAGTCTCACTCTCTTGCCCAGCCTGGGGTGCAATGGCGCCATCTCAGCTCACTGCAACCTCTGCTTCCCAGGTTCAAGCGATTCTGTCTCAGCCTCCTGAGTAGTTGGGATTACAGGCATGCAGCACCACACCCAGCTAAATTTTGTATTTTAAGTAGAGATGGGGTTTCACCATGTTGGCCAGGCTGGTCTTGAACTCCTGACCTCAGAAGATCCACCCACTTCGGCCTCCCAAAGTGCTGTGATTACAGGAGTGAGCCACTCCACCCAGCCAGAAAACACCATTTCTAAAACAGTTGTGTATTGTATAATCATACTCATAAATTTATATAAAGTTGTATGTGCATATATCAATTTTTAGATAGTAAGTACTGGGTGTATGTTAGCTATTATTGCTAACTATTAGTTTGCCTGAAAGGCCATCCATGTTAAGAAATAGAAAAAAGCCCATTTAAAAGCCAGCAGCCTACATGCCAATAAACCAATTTTCCTTATTAAAATAAATATGGTTAGAAATACTTAAGAACTATCCCTGGTGTTGTATACTTTTACAACGAAGATGGAATGACATAGTTAAATGAGATGAGCAAAGAAAGTTTTACCAAAACGCAAACCATTATGAAAGCAAAACTAAACATACGTGGCACAGCACTTTGAAAATGGCTGGGATTAAATTCAATAAGTTGTCTTCTGAGCTCATTTACTCCAACACCAGAGGGTCCTAAACATAAAAAGTCACACACAGAAATCATCAGATGTGGATAAATATAATTATGCGATGGAATAATCATTTTAGTCCTTCTATTGAAGAAACTTGAGAGCAAATATTTTTAGGGAAATTATGTAACTTCCTTTCTCATAAATTGGAAGAACCCCAGAAAACTTTTGGGAATTTTTCTAGTGACCCATGGAATAACCCACATTGCTTCAACATTCAGGAATGAGGTAAGGAATCGCAGGAACCTGACACCCAGCAAACTCTATCTAATGTTGAATGCCATGAGAATTAGCTGGTCTCATTTTAGAGAATCACAGAGCTCTGCCTTTCCTTTTCAAATGAAGTTTTTATCAAGTCACAACCAGAAACCAGCCTCGACAATTATAGGTTCTGTGACTTACAGAATTCAGGGGTACATTCCTGACAGGTGATTGAGTAAGCACCCCCATGTCCAGCTGGAGGCAGGGCTGCCTTCGTGGGTGTAGAACCTGTGCAGTTACACAGGGCCCATGCTTAGAAGGATACTGTGCTTGGATGAATTATCTGCTATTGTATCTTGAAATCCTTGATAATGTTTTAACCAGGGGCCCTTGCATTTGCATTTTACAATGGGGCCTGCATATGATATCGCTGGTCCCAGCCGTAAGGCACATCTTTCTGCTCTACAGGGACCTGCCTTGCTCATGGAGCTAAACACGCAGACAGGAAGGCAGTAGGATACAAGTTGCTACTGCTACAGGGACCAGCTTTGCAAAAGTCATGGGCACAAAAGCAGGTCACTCCTGCACTATATTTGCCATGATCTTTATAAAGCACCAAAGATACAGTCCAGAAGATGTTACTTTTCTAAATGAGGTAATTACAAATTTCTTAGGAGAATGGACTTGAAGAATTTAACACATTTCTCAGGGAAATGGACGTTAAGAATTTATTTTCATGATACAGGTTAATGACCTGCCTGGGGAAACACTCATCTATGTTTACAGAACAATTCTAAGCAGGCAAAAAAACAAATCTCAGTCATAACGACATCATAATACTTGTTATATAACAAGTAACTATATAGTTCATGGACACCATGGCATACCACATTCACTTGTAGATTTTTTAAAAAGCTTGATACAATAAAATGTTACTTATAAACCCACAGTACAATGGTTTTATTTTGTTTTTTAAAAAAGGTATTTGTATGGGGGGTCTATAAAGAGTTCTACTTTTACCATCATTCCCAATATGAGACACCTGAATCTAGAAGGAAAACTCCTCAAGGAGGAGGAGAGAGAGTGCATGCTGGGACATACCCATGAGCACTATGAGGCGGTACTTGTCTGAAGGGCGTCGCTGGTACCTCACCACCTCCTCGTAAGGGGCACCCACTGCACTGTAGCAGCTGCCGGTGCAGCACACACTGGCATGCAGCGGGCTGAGGTGAGACTTCCTGCGACACAGGCGCATGCTGCGGCGGAAGCCAGCTAGGGAGGGGAAGTGCACAAAACATAAGAACCAGACAGGAGAGATCACTTGTAGCCTCACGCCTGATGAAATATGTAGCAACCATGATCCTAAAGTGTTCGTTAATATAGTCACGTCTGTCTGAAGTTAGAAGACAGGAAGTCATATGAGGGGAACATATGAAAATGCCCCCTGGGCTAGCCCATCTCGCACCTGCTCTGGGCCAGGCATTGTCCTGGGTGCTGGGGAGAGAGGGCTCAACTAATCCAAGGCCACTTTCTCATGAAATCTGCATTTTGTAGAAGAGGAGAGACAAAAATTAGAGGAAAAAAAAATAAGTACTTAGAAGAAGACGAGGTAGCTAGAGACTGATGGGGGTGCTTTTTTAGATAGGCAGTAAGGTTAGAGTATCTCTGAAAGGTTGGCATTGAGCAGACATCTGGAGGAAGGCAGGGAGCCAGATCAGGAAGCCTCTGAGGAGACAGGCAAGCCAGGTCAAGGGAACTGCAAGTGCAGTGGTGCAGAGAAACGAACTGTGCTTGGAGCATTTGAGGAACAGCAAGGAAACCTGTGTAGCTGCAGGGCAGTAAGCAACAGGGAGTATGAAACAGGGTAGGGGGCAGTGGCTGGAGCCACATCACATAGGGCCTCTGAAAAGTGTTGGATTGTTGTGGAAGTGTGACGGGAAGCTGTTGGCGGTGGCATGATTGGATTCATGTTTCTGAAAGACTCCTCTGGTTGGTGTAAACGTAGAGAGAGCAAGTGTGGCCTCAGGGGAGAGCAGTTAGGAAGCTACTGCAGTGGTCTGAATGAGGGATGAGGGTGGCTTGGGTCAGGGCAGAAACAGTGGAGCAGGCTCATTTTTCACATTTTTCAGGTGGTTTCACTAAGACACAGACAGATTAGGTGGTTGCTTAGGACTGTGTGGTCAGTGCAAAGTTGGACACATGGATCATGATTTCTAAGCTCCTAGATTCCTGCTTCATCTGCCTTGTGAATCATGGGACTTTCTGGTATCTTCAGAGCTGTTTGCAGGTCCTCTCAGTAGACAGTTAGCAACTCTATGTGTACATATAAATACACATGCACACTTCAATCTATATTTGTATGTCTATATATTGAAAACCATGAGTTCACACCAGTACCTACAATGTCAATCCAACACTAGAGGATTCATTCTAGACTTCCCCTTTCCATGTTTATAACTCCCTTCTCTAACAGCGAGAACCCTGGTCCTTGTCCTCAATACATTTGCTTATCATATCAATCAAGAGCACTTAAGTGTGCAAGATAGGGGACAGACAATGTCAATCGCCTCGCAGAAAGTGTCAGAGCCCAAGCTGGATGAGGCGGGCATCTTTGTAAAGCCTGTTGGGCATCAGAGGCCAAGTGATGGCAGCGGACCTCTTGATTTTACTCTGGCTCTGACAACCTGCACCAGGCTACCATTGTTCCCTGCACAGATGCCTT